GCAGAATGAAGATTATAACTGGATATCCAGACAGAGGAACTGTCCTGATTAGATAAACTGTGGTGGAAAAGCTCCGTTTTCAACAGACAGGTAATATTAAGGTGTAATAAACATCTTCAAAATAATTATCCTAACGATTATCTTTAACAGCTCTAATCATCGCTTCTCAATCGATTCCCTTCATAACGTCTCAGATTTATTCAAAGTTTTCTCCTTTTGCTCAGAATCCAACAATGATCCCATTTTAATGATCTTCAGCTCCAAACAGGAGTCTCTGCACACAATGTGTCCCATTAAATAGATTTACTCCATAAACCTCAGTTTGAATGACTGATTTCCAGAACAGGATCCGCCTCCCGTCAGGAGAGCAGCCGTCCAATCTGATCAGTTAGAAATCTCCTCATCAGCCTCTTATATTGAAAAAGCTTCACCTTTTTATGAAAGTTATACTTTAACATTGTTTGTTTAAATTAATGTATTTCTACTCTATTAATATCTCTGTTTGGTTCTCCTGTCCTGGATGGACGGATGAGGACGTTTCATCTTTGCACCCCTCTCTGCGTGGAGCGTCGTCAGATCTGTGATCCGAAAGATTAAACATCTCTGGCAGAAAAAGGCACAGAAACATCTGCAGCAGATCCTGAAGATGGCATTGATGCACCGCCGCCGCGTAATGATGTCCAGTAACTAGATGGCGTCCTGCAAACAGCAGCGCCTTCAGCCACAGTGTTTGAAGTGGACACTAACGAGCTCCTTCAGCTCCGCAGCCTGACCTGTGCAGGGGCGTTACTCTGTGGTGTGGGTGTGTGGCCGGGCAGGGGGGGGTCATACCACTGTCCAGGGTGAGAGGGTATATAAGACCGAGCACTGGAGGCTCTGCGCTACCTTTAACCTGGAGTGGAGGGAAATCCTTGTTTTAATGGCGTGTTTTTAATGTTTCTGGGAAGACAGCTGTTGATTTTTACAAACTTCTGATTCTGGTTTCTGAGACGCAGGTAAGAACCAAGATCAGCCGCCTGGAACGTTCAGGTACCAGCCTGACTGGGAACAAGCTTTCTGACTGGAACACAAAGGTGGCTGATCTCAGTTTATGGTCTTTTAGCTTTTATTCATGGGGTTCTCTGATCAAAGCAGGTAAACATGAAGGTACCTGGTCTCTACCATCCCAGCTGATGCTGAAGCAGATCTGGGCATCCTCAGACCCAGGGGCCCGTCCGGGGTCCAGTGAGAATGGATCTCTGGAGAAACATGCTTTCATGTTGGCTGCAGGTTTATGAACCGTCTGATTTGATATAAAAGTTATTCTTTACGGTTAGGTTCAATCTTTGCTGGTTTCTGGTGAGAACTTTCAGTCATGAGACCATGAATGGAGTTTAATAGGACAGGAGTGAAGTTTCAGAAAGCCTCATAAAGGATTTATTTTACTTTTGAAATTGTTTCTACTTTTAGGTTTGATAATTTTTTAGGCAAACATGAATTAAAAAGTTAATTTTGACCTTCTTTTTTATCACGAGGGAACAAACGAGGTTCAGTATTGGTTTATGTGCATTCATGTAGCATCATTAGCAGTTAGCCATGGTTCATTTACTATCATGTCCAGGTCTCCAGCTGCAAAACTTAAAGACGGATGGAATGGGTGGAACGGGAGTGTAGATAGCAAGGTAAGCTAATTTTAGCATCGTAATGGCAAGGCGCGATAATGTTAACATGGTAATAGCAAGGTGGGCTAATGTTAGCATGGTAATAGCAAGGTGGGCTAATGTTAGCATGGTAATAGCAAGGTGGGCTAAAGCTAGCATGGTAATAGCAAGGTGGGCTAATGTTAGCATGGTAATAGCAAGGTGGGCTAAAGCTAGCATGGTAATAGCAACGTGGGCTAATGTTAGCATGGTGATAGCAAGATGGGCTAATGTTAGCATGGTAATAGCAACATGGGCTAATGTTAGCATGGTAATAGCAAGGTGGGCTAAAGCTAGCATGGTAATAGCAAGGTGAGCTAATGTTAGCATGGTGATAGCAAGGTGGGCTAATGTTAGCATCGTAATGGCAAGGCGGGATAATGTTAGCATGGTAATAGCAAGGTGGGCTAATGTTAGCATGGTAATAGCAACATGGGCTAATGTTAGCATGGTAATAGCAAGGTGGGCTAAAGCTAGCATGGTAATAGCAAGGTGAGCTAATGTTAGCATGGTGATAGCAAGGTGGGCTAATGTTAGCATCGTAATGGCAAGGCAGGATAATGTTAGCATGGTAATAGCAAGGTGGGCTAAAGCTAGCATGGTAATAGCAAGGTGGGCTAATGTTAGCATGGTGATAGCAAGGTGGGCTAATGTTAGCATGGTAAAAGCAAGGTAGGCTGATGTTAGCATCGTAATGGCAAGGCGGGCTAATGTTAGCATGGTGATAGCAAGGTGGGCTAATGTTGGCATGGCAATAGCAAGGCTGGATAATGTTAGCATGGTAATAGCAAGATGGGCTAATGTTAGCATGGTAATAGCAACATGGGCTAATGTTAGCATGGCAATAGCAAGGCTGGATAATGTTAGCATGGTAATAGCAACATGGGCTAATGTTAGCATGGTAATAGCAAGGTGGGCTAAAGCTAGCATGGTAATAGCAAGGTGAGCTAATGTTAGCATGGTGATAGCAAGGTGGGCTAATGTTAGCATCGTAATGGCAAGGCAGGATAATGTTAGCATGGTAATAGCAAGGTGGGCTAAAGCTAGCATGGTAATAGCAAGGTGGGCTAATGTTAGCATGGTGATAGCAAGGTGGGCTAATGTTAGCATGGTGATAGCAAGGCGGGCTAATGTTAGCATGGTGATAGCAAGGTGGGCTAATGTTGGCATGGCAATAGCAAGGCTGGATAATGTTAGCATGGTAATAGCAAGATGGGCTAATGTTAGCATGGTAATAGCAACATGGGCTAATGTTAGCATGGCAATAGCAAGGCTGGATAATGTTAGCATGGTAATAGCAAGGTGGGCTAATGTTAGCATGTTAATAGCTGTTTTCTCAACTTTATTATCGGACTGGTAAGTTACTGCTTTACTCCTAGTTTACAGTCAGAATCTTTTTTATTTTCTATCTTTAGGTCAGAGGTCAGCAACCCAAACTGCTCAAAGCCATGTTAGACCAAAAAATAAATAAAAATAAATCTGTCTGGAGCTGCAAAAATGTGAATGTCTTTTATCAGCCTGTCATGGAAACACGGCTCTAAGTGTTTTATTCCACTATAGAAAAGGAAAATGGCGGCTTAAATATATAATAAACATTCATGATTAAATGTTCATCAATGTCACATAGCAGCATGAGGTGATGGGCGAGCAGTGATCGCTTCACCGCGCGCGGTGCATTGATGAAATGATAGAAACAGGATAAAGGAATCTTTCTATGGTGGACGTGTTTCTGTTGGGAGGAGCTGATGGAGTCACGAGGAACCGAGCAGGAAGTGACATCATCAGAGCAGAGCTCTCTAACCCTGAAATCCCACATCCTCCGTCACCAGCGTTCTTTGGTGGGATTTAGATTTTTAGGATTTGGGGAACAAATGGAAGAAAGTTTCCATCCCTGCATCAGAGGCCTACCTGTTGGATCTATGAATGGTTTTCTATCCTTGCAACCAAACTAGCAGCAGTAGTTTGGAGATGCAATCTACTTCTTAAATCTATATTTGCTCTCCTCTAATTTATCCAGAAGTTCAGCAATCTCTCTTTTTCTCTCCCTCCCAGCTGGTGGTCGGCTGCAGATTTAACCTTCCCTGAAAATGACTTTCCTAATTTTTATTTTTTGCCAACCTCTCATTCCAAAGCAAACATGCAGGCGATCCTTCCTCACTGGTAATGAAAGCAAATGATTCGCTCATCAGCCATCTTCCTTTTTTCCCTCTGGGATCCACGGCCTGAGACGCACCTGCAGCTTTGTTAGCCTGGCGCCGCGCCGCTAACCCTGGCTGCAGGTTATGGCCACTGATCTCTATGGCTATGATGCAAACTATTGTTTAAATGTATTTGTTATACAAATGTTTACAGCATTGGAAAACATAAATAATTTTAGTTTATATATAAAAACAAAAATTTCATAAATTTTTGAAAAAGCTCGAGGCTAAAGAGGTTGCAGACCCCCGCTTTAGTAGAAGCAAAATGCAGGCGCCCCTAGTGGCCAAAAGCTAAACACTGTGCCTTTAACTGGAGTTAGAAGGAGGGTATCCAGAGAACCAGACTGCAGGAGAAGATGGAGAGTTCAGTCAGAAGAGGAGATTACTTCTGCAAAGGAGGAAACAAGCAGAAAAAACTGAATATTTGGCTCATAGAGCGTCCAGACCACCATGCTGTAGACCTACAACATCCTCCTGCTCCACCAGATCCTTTAGCTCCTCCCCTTTTCTTGTCATCCCTGCTTCAGTACCTGACTTAATGGAAAAATGTAACTATAGAAGAGAGGCTGGAATGCTATCCCATCCAAACAGATTTTGTAGAAAGTCTAAGTAGGCTAACATTTGTTAGGATTAGGTCTTAGAACCCTGGTTGGTCAGAGCTGAGGGCCAATGAGAGGAGAGATTAGGGGAGGGGTGTAGCTTAAAGGCCCATTCATACCTCACGTAAAAGACGGATCCGGATACGTGTGGAGTGTTTCATACGTTCTAACCGTCGATTTCGTCCGTACTTTGACACGAAAATTGGGAGCTTACGCTTACGGACGAAACGGATCAATACGGAGCAATACTACCGGAAACGGTGGGGGCGCTATTGAGTTTTTAGTACAAAATGTCAACAGAATCAGGTCTTGGACCATCGCCATGTTTTGATCAATGACGAATCATTGGCGCCCAGCACTGCCACCTAGAGGAAATACGGGTTATTGCGCACCTCAACGGACGGAGGTATGAAGGAGTCAACGGATAGAACGTACGGACAGAAATACGGACGTGCAGGCCAAACGTGAGGTATGAATGGGCCTTTAGTGTGACAACAGCCCACCAGATGGTTCTGATCATATCTACATTAACGTCCAGAGTTATGGAGGAAAAAAAGCTTTGCTCAGAAAACCCTTTTTATTCTCATCACAGCTGGACATGTAGGTCCAACAGATCGCATCACTCTTACTGGTTTCCTGTGAGGTTCTAAAGGTTCTGCTGCAAACCATAGATGGTACAAACTAACAGTCTACAGTGAGTCAGTTCTCTGGGAGTCAGAGTCCTGGAACTTCACCATGACTCGGTCCAACAGGTCTCTCTCTCTCTCTGTCCTGGTTTTTGAGCCCAGATTCTGGTGTTGGTCAATAAAGTAACATAATGACGTCACACAGTAGCCAGGAGGAGGTTAGCCTGAAGAAGGAAGCAGGTGAACGGACTTTATTAGCGAACTATCTGAATAAATGAGACTCTCAGGAGGTTTTTTTTTGTCTCCTTCAGGATGTCAGAACTTTGGGCTTTTTCTCGGATGTCCTTCCTGCTGATTTGGGTTCTGGTCATTTCCTCGATGACGTCTGGCTTCCCTCATCCTAGACTACCTCTTAGGTGAGTTTAATCTGATGTGGGATCAGCTGAAACCTCAGGCGTATTGCTATTGCCCTAAGGATAAAGATTGCATCTCTATGATCTCATTTCTGTGATCTTAGAAACCCTGAAGATCCACAGGAGGTGAAACCCGATGACTGGGATGTTCTGTTCCCCTCCATCTCCCTCCATGACTGGAACATCCAGATGATGTCAACGCCGAGCCTGAGAGCGGCAGCAGACAGCAAGGCTGGTCTGATGAGGGAAGCGTGGCTGTTTGGTCCGGACAGGGCGGAGGCCAGGTAACTGGGACCTCAACCCTGTGCTGCTCTTTAACTGGCTGCTTTATCGTAGAAAAGTTCAGCTGGTTTCATCTTCCGCCATCACCGCTCCTCTCTCTCCACGTGGCGCTGCTGTCTGACACCTCAGCTCTATCAAGTAGCCGGAGGTGAGGGAGGAGCAGTGAACCCTCTCACCCTTCAACAAGCACTTTGTTTAGGAAATATATGTGAATCCACAGCAAATTCATTCCATTTTTACTTTTAGACAATGAAAAATTTCTTATTTCATAAACTTTTAATTTTCACCTACCTAGCTGTAGCTGCAGCTCACGATGTACAGTTAGCTGTAGCTGCAGCTCACGATGTACAGTTAGCTGTAGCTGCAGCTCACGATGTACAGTTAGCTGTAGCTGCAGCTCACGATGTACAGTTAGCTGTAGCTGCAGCTCACGATGTACAGTTAGCTGTAGCTGCAGCTCACGATGTACAGTTAGCTGTAGCTGCAGCTCACGATGTACAGTTAGCTGTAGCTGCAGCTCACGATGTACAGTTAGCTGTAGCTGCAGCTCACGATGTACAGTTAGCTGTAGCTGCAGCTCACGATGTACAGTTAGCTGTAGCTGCAGCTCACGATGTACAGTTAGCTGTAGCTGCAGCTCACGATGTACAGTTAGCTGTAGCTGCAGCTCACGATGTACAGTTAGCTGTAGCTGCAGCTCACGATGTACAGTTAGCTGTAGCTACAGCTCACGATGTACAGTTAGCTGTAGCTGCAGCTCACGATGTACAGTTAGCTGTAGCTACAGCTCACGATGTACAGTTTGCTGTAGCTACAGCTCACGATGTACAGTTAGCTGTAGCTGCAGCTCACGATGTACAGTTAGCTGTAGCTACGTGCAACGATTGAGATTTAAAAAATCTCAGTGTATGTCCGGCTTTACAGTGGAACTGCAGTCAGACACTTCCTATTAATATCAGCAGTTTTCTAGATAAAGGATTGAGGCCCCGTCCACACGAAGTCAAAACGAACACGAAACGCTAATATTTTCCAAAACGTTTGTCGTAAAGACGGAGACGTAAAATAAATGTGATCGTCCACACGAATGCATGAAAACGCTGCAAAATGTATGCCAGGCCTATAAGTGGCGCTGTGGTGCCAAAGCGAAAACAGGCGACGAAATGTTGGGCATGCGCACTAATATTTATTCATGGTTGCCCTGCGGGTCTATTTCCGTGGTTCAGTCAAATTCAGGTGCTGAACTATGTGGTCGATATTGCTCTGTTCTTCCTGGAGATATTCCAGAAGAAGAAGATTCTGTTGTAAGCCCGACAGCAGGGTGAGTAGCATGAGCAGCAACCATTCAACACGGCGTACGGCGCCATTGTTGTTGTGATACTGCGTCGCGCATGCGTGTTTAGAGGCCACACTATGACGCATGCGTTTAAGAAAAAAAATGCGGTTAGAGCTTAAAGATGGAAACGCGAAAACGGCGTTTCAAAATCTTCCCACTCTGAAGGCTGAATAAAAAAAAGATCGTTTACAGACCCCCGAAACGCCGGCTTCGTACGGATGAGAGGCTGGTTTGGTGAAAAATTAGTGCGTTTAGGCCAGGGTTCGGCTTCGTGTGGACGGAGCCTAACTAAACTACCTCTGAGGGCAGCTGGTGTTTGAGGAGATCCTAAAGTCTTGGTGGTTCTGTCCTGTCCAGTGTGGAAGGGGTGTGGCCAAGTGAGTGGGCTTCAGGAGGAGCCCGCCTGCTGAAGAGGAACATGGTGGTGGCCGACGACGCCGCCTTCAGGGAGAAGAGCAAACTCCTGACCTCCATGGAGAGACAGAAGTGGCTGAACTCCTACATGCAGAAGCTTCTGGTGGTTGACTCCTGATGTTTGCTTCAAAGTTCAGCTTTAGTTTCTGCTCTTCAGGAGAACTTTAGATGTTTGTTGTTGATGTGAATAAAATGTTGTTGGAATTAAACTTAGATGTAACTAAAACCCTGCAGATGTTTGTGATGTTCATGGTGGATGTTTCTCCAGAACTAACGATTTACTCTCTGCTCCTCCAGCCTTAGAAGCTCTTCTTACCCAGAATGGGATCCAGAGGCCTCAGCAGAAGCTCTGTACTTTATGGAGATGGATCAGAACTTGTTCCTCTCCATCTTAAGTCCTGATGTCAAATAAATCAGCAGCTTTTCTTTAAGCAGAATCTGGAATTATATTCTGACTCTAATCTACATTCTGTGTTTTTTTCTTCGTTTTCCTCCATTGATCAAACTTTGATGTTTGGTTAGATCAGGCAGCAAACTGCAGGTAGCTCCAGCCTGACACCTGCTGGCCAATCCCTAGAACTGCGCTCTGCAGGGTTTAAGCCAGTTTTCCTTAGATTAAAGGTTTTGTGGAGGATTTTCATGATTTCTTTCTTTGTTTTTTGTCTCCACTTGTTTAAAAGTTGCTGTTCTCAAAGCTCATAGAATGTCGGCCCCTAAAACCCTGGGATAATGTTGGCCCAGGTCTTAGAAGGTTTGACCCTCACAGCCTCCACTCTGGGTCCCTGAGCAAGACCCCTTAACCCCTCACTGCTCCCAGGAGCCGCACAACGGCAGCCCAAAATGCAGAGGGAATTTCCCCAATGTGAGATCAATAAAGTTCAATTATTATTTTTTTTCTCTTCCGACCCTCGGCCATTTTCCAAGAACCGCAGTGAGAAAGGTGAGCTTCAAAGACTGTCTGAAACCGTAGCTCACTACAGATATACGCCTGAATGTGCGCAGAACAAGCTAGCTAACGGAACGAGCGCATAGGACGGCCTTACGGACACACCTCACTAGGATGATTGACAGTTAGGAGGACCACTGATTGACATGAGACATTTTTAAAAATGCTTTTATTTGAATCCAGAGTGCTTCAGTATTTCCTCAGATTAAAACGACCAGAGCAGCAGATTAAATCCCTCCAAACGTTTCTCAGTGAATTATAAACTGAGCAGATTTAGTTTATAATCCCAGACTGACTTCATTAACTCTCAAAGCTTCAGTTTCATATCTGATGAAGTCGTCGTCTACCGCCTGTCGAAAAATTAAGCAGGATGAAGAACCTAACGGAGAACCCTGAGCATCATCATCTTCATTGGAACCAGTCAGAGGCTCCAACACGGCCGCTGGAAGACGGACCTCTACAGGAGACAACATCTGGATAAAAAAGAGTCGCAGCATCTCACTTTACTTTGGGATCAATAAATTCCCTGAAAGAAAATCGTCAAACGTCTCTAGATGCTAATCCCAACAGAACCTCTAGTTCCTCAATAATCAGATTATCACAGCAGACCAATGAGGAGGATTTTAATCCGGAGATCTGGGCCGTCTGAATAGAACCTCCATGTTCTATCTGGGCTCGTTTCCGCCTTACTGGACGTCCTGATATAACCTTCTGATGACGGATTCCATCATCGATCTCATATCAGATCGATTCACGATTTTATTCCCTGTTTTGATGAAGGGATCAAGGACACTGATCAACAGGAGAAGAACTGATCCTCAGATTATGAACCAACCGGTTCCAGAAACTTCAGGCAGATTGATATTTAATCTGAGATTAGCCTGATATCGGATCCTGTATCAGTATGGGATCTCAGGGAGGTTCTGCATGTAAGTGATTGAAGAACTTCAGCCAGCAGCTCAGGCCACAGCATATGTCTCCATGGCAAACCGCTGTCCAGCATCTCTGCTGCTTTCTAACTGAAAGGATTTATTGCTTCTTTAATTAGAACTTTTCTGACCCACATCCAGTAGAACCCCTGGTCTGGTCTGAAGGGCCGGGTCGCCGAGTCCGTCCATCGCCGGTCATTCAGAGCTGATGAAACGGACCTTCTACAGAGGGATGAAGACCTGCTGGTCCAGAACATCCATCCGCTCCTGCAGCTGCTTCCTGTTGGCCAGACGCCGTCTGTCCCTGCGCTGCAGGAGGACAGCCTCGGCCTGAAGCAGCTGCTCTGCAGCCTCAGAACAAGGCAGCTCCCCCGGGGCCCCGGCCCCGCTGGGGGCCCCGGCTCTGCTGGGGGAGCTGGGGGCCCGCTCCAATGAACGGCTGAGCATCTTCCCAGCCTGCAGCCTGACACGACACGGGCCCTGAATGGAGGGAGCAGAGAGGAGAGGCGAGGGAGGGGGACAGAGGGGAGGAATGCCCACACAGGCCCCGCCCACACAGGCCCCGCCCTCAGAGCTCCTGCCGTGTTCATCCTTGGAGCGTCGTTCTTGGAGTTCCATCTGACGCTCCTGAGAAGAAAATCAAGGACATAAGAAGTTAAGAAAGTTTTCATCCTGAAAGATTCGCTGGTGAAACCTGTGCAGCGTTTCTGTCCAAAGCGGCGCTCTGATCAACCAGCGTTCCAGGCGACTGGTTGATCAGAGCGCTGATCGGATCAGTCAGATAAGTTTCTCTGGTTCCTCTCTGGCAGTCGCCTAGTTACCACTCAAAGCAGTGCATCCTGGGAAACGGCAGAGGGTCAATCCTCCAGAAAAAAAAACAGATTATAGGACTAATTTTACAGCAGAATATATTAAAGTATATCTGGTGAAGGGGAGGAACAGGGGCGGATCTAGACCAAATGTACCAGGGGGCCAGGAGGGGGGTGGGGGGGGGGCAGCGCGTTTTCATGGGGGCCCAGAAAAGCATGAAATAAAAAACAGGGCAAAAGATTCAAATATATTAATACAGCTGCATGAAGGGAACTTTATTTTCAATGAGGTTCAATAAAAATTCTATTTCTAATGAGGTCAATATACATTTATTATTTAGGAATTTTACATATTTTTGGCTTAATTTAAGTTAAAACTACCGTTTTCTATAAAATTTGAATTTGAACTCAAGAAAAACTGTTAAATTCATCTGAAAAAATTAGAGCATTTTTTTTAATTAAAAAACATTTAGCAGATGAAAACTGGGATCCTATCTTAAAACCACTGAAGCGATCAGCTTATTGTTTATGAATAATTAGTAAAACAGAATTTGTAAAGAAAAGAATGAAATAGATCCAAAGAACCAATCAGTAACCATGTCTGTTCCAGCGCATCATCGTTAGAATTTCTTTGAAGTATCATGTCTTCAGTACAGGGGCCATAACAGCGGCCAGGACATGATCTACAGGGGCGCCGGCCCCCGTTGGGGCCGGCCATGGTGAGGAATGATGACATCATGGCGAGGTGCACTGTCTGCTGAAGTCCATGAAAAACAGAAAGCAACCGATGTTCAAGGCTACGAGATTGAAATTATTGAAAATAAAAGACCAATACTGTTCTGTTTAGTGTTTAAGGAATTGCTGTTCGTTAATAAACAGCTGATGAGACGTTGCTGGCCTTCCGTGTGTCTCTATGGGGGCCGGTGTCCCCGGGTGTGTCTTTAAGCATCTCCCTGAAATGAGTTTTTGGAACTTGGGATGTCTGTAGTTGATTACTTTCCAATTAAAACAGGTTATTTTGCTGCCTCACCTTTTCACAGCAGGGTGAGTCAAACTTTAGCGTAACGCTCATTTTTCCTCAGGCACCTGAACGCATCCTGGCAGCAGCGGAGCTCTGCAGCTCATTCTGATCTAAATATTCAAACCGAATCAGAAATGTGAAGCTCTAAGCTGTAGACGTGGTACCTGTGTGTCAGGCAGTCTCCTCAGCATCTCCTCCATCCTCGCCAGCATCTGGTTCCCATGGTAACAGGTCGCCAAACTCCGCCGGGCGGGCCTAGGGGGCGTCCTGACCTGAAGATCGCTGAAGCGGCGGTCCGCCACGCTGTCCTGCAGGAACAGGGTTAGAACGGAGCGAGCAGAAGAGCGCGGCGGCTTTCTGGTTCTGCTGGGAACAGACCCACCATCCAGGTCCAGAAAACCTTCTCCGTCTGCTTCCAGCTCACGTAGGCGTCCAGGACGTCGCACAGCTGCTGGAGACGATCGCAGTCCTGAAACAACCAGGTTCCCCAAATGAGCTGAGGAGGACTTCCTGTCTCCTCCTACAAATTAAAAGCACTAAATTCAACTATTTCTGACTCCAAAAGCCTATTTTCCTACCATCGTCCAGAAGGGGGCGCTGCCCACAGCACTGATCTAAATAAAACCACATGTGGAACCAACAGAACAGGACCGATGCGAGTGGCCTCCATCTTGTGGAGTTCTCCTCCAGTTTGTCACCTCCTGCTGCTGGTTCAGGTTCTTCATTCTTCTTATTAAACTTCTCAGCCTCAGATTCCTTCAATCGGAGCAGCTCTAGTTTTCCTAACTGCTGCTGAAACGCCTGAATTTCCCCACTGAGGAACAACGAAGGACTTTCTACTCTGTTCTGTTGTGTTGAAGCTAACGGACTGAACTCCCAACACTAAGGCTCTGGATCAGAAAGGTCACAGCAGACTGCAGGGGGCGCTGCTGCTGCGCTATCGGCCATCTTCTATGGAGCTGTCTGTTGGAGCAGCGACTCATCTGTAGCTAAGAGGAAGCGTCTGGATCAGCTGATCAGGAAGGCCAGCTGTGATTGGATGCCCTCTGGCCTCAGAGCAGGAGGAGGGAAACAGACGGAACCTCACTAAATCAACATCTCTGTTGGATAATTTCAAATATCCATTACTGGAAAAATGTCCATAGCTGCATATTGGTTATTTATTCTCCAGTTTGATATTTTAAAAAACTTTACAGGATTTTATAGTTTATCTTTTAACTCTTCACTATTGTTTTTTCTTATACATTTTTCCCCATTGTGGGACAATAAAGGGATTTTCTCTTCTATTGTATTCTATTCTATTGTATTCTATTCTATTGTATTCTATTCTATTCTATTATATAGCTCCTTGTTGCCTCCAGGAAGCTCCAGCTTTAGATCAACCAGCTTCAGTCTCATAGAATATTAGCTGGTAAACTTCCTCCATGTCAGTCTGTTGTTGGGCGACAGGTTTTAATTGATTGGAAGTCAATATAAAAATGACCACCAGGTGGCAGCGGTGCTCCATGAGCAGAAGACAGGAATGTTTGGATTTCTCTCTTTCTAACTTTTTATTAGTTATAAAGTTAAACTTGTGTCGGGAAAACATGCAGGTCTCCACCAGAGCAGCTGAACCAGCAAACTAAACACCCGGCCGGGTCTAATCAGCCCGTTTCTTTAACCTCTTAGCCTGTTGCCATGGTAACACTCTCCCAGGCTAACCTGGTCAGCAGGTTTTCCTCCATAAACTCAGGCCTCTGGCTCCGCCCCCGATGTTTTATTTCCTGATTCAGTCAGATTTCTATCGTAGTTCTGTGAGAACATAAAGGAGCTCAGTCAGCAGGTCAACCACCTCCTGTCCTTTAGGATCCAATCAAAGACTGAGCGGCATTCATTCAGGGAATGAGGAGCGCGTCTCTATATTCAGAAAACTCTTTCTCAGAGTTTCACCTCCCAATCTGTCAGACAGACCGGATCCTTTTTATTTCACTTTTTTATTCTCATCCCACCGTCACAGAGCAACAAAATAAACGCCGCATGTAACCCCTCCCCTCAGGGAGCAGTGGGCTGCCATTGTGCGGCGCCCGGGGAGCAGGGTGGGGTCAAGGACTTCCTCAGGGACCCAGAGTGGCAGTCTGTGGGAGTGGGACTCGAACTCACACACTCGAAAAAATTGAAATCTAGAGAAGTAATTTTTTCTTAAAGTTAATTTATTCTTGGATTGAGGAGGTAAAGGAGACATTTAGCGAACGGAACGAGACAATTTCCACTTAAAATCAGAAAACACAATTGCATTGTCTTATTTCAAGTGCGTATTATCTAATTATCTTATTTTAAATACTAATTCCAAACTATTTCATTTCCCTGCTCAAATTAAGAATAAATAAACTTAATTTAAGACATTTTTACTTATTTCTAGATGGTTTTTCCAGTGCATCCTCTGGGATCCCTATAATAAAGACCCAAACCAGGAATCAAACCTGTAACCTTCTTGCTAACCACTGCACCACTGATCCGTCCTCATTAGCAGCATTCCAGACTTCTTTACCAGAACTGGATTATATCAGGGAGAAAACATAGATATCAGCATCATAGAAAACAGCTGCTCAGTCAGACAGACAGAGAATTTACAGAAAGACCAGCAGGAGGAGGAACCCAGGAGACGGTGATCAGGTCCTTCCTGATAAAACGTTTAACACCATGCTGATAAATGTCTAAACTGCCACTTAAAATATGGAAACATTTCCATATAAAACTCAATTCTTACCAGTATAATTTTGTTTGTTTAATTTTCTGAAGTTTAGTTTCGACTGCAAAAATGTTATTTAAAAATAATGTCATTACCGTTCAGTCTAGGAGTGCGAAATAACCAGAAACGATTTAACCAGAAACGATTTAACCAGAAACGATTGAACCAGAAACGATTGAACCAGAAACGATTTAACCAGAAACGATTGAACCAGAAACGATTGAACCAGAAACGATTTAACCAGAAACGATTGAACCAGAAACGATTTAACCAGAAAAGATTGAACCAGAAAAGATTGAACCAGAAACGATTGAACCAGAAACGATTTAACCAGAAAAGATTTAACCAGAAAAGATTTAACCAGAAACGATTTAACCAGAAACGATTGAACCAGAAACGATTTAACCAGAAAAGATTTAACCAGAAACGATTTAACCAGAAAAGATTTAACCAGAAACGATTTAACCAGAAAAGATTTAACCAGAAACGATTTAACCAGAAAAGATTTAACCAGAAAAGATTTAACCAGAAACGATTTAACCAGAAACGATTTAACCAGAAACGATTTAACCAGAAAAGATTTAACCAGAAACGATTTAACCAGAAACGATTTAACCAGAAACGATTTAACCAGAAACGATTGAACCAGAAACGATTGAACCAGAAACGATTTAACCAGAAAAGATTTAACCAGAAAAGATTTAACCAGAAAAGATTTAACCAGAAACGATTTAACCAGAAACGATTGAACCAGAAACGATTGAACCAGAAACGATTGAACCAGAAACGATTGAACCAGAAACGATTTAACCAGAAACGATTTAACCAGAAACGATTGAACCAGAAACGATTTAACCAGAAACGATTTAACCAGAAAAGATTTAACCAGAAAAGATTTAACCAGAAACGATTTAACCAGAAACGATTGAACCAGAAACGATTGAACCAGAAACGATTGAACCAGAAACGATTGAACCAGAAACGATTTAACCAGAAACGATTTAACCAGAAAAGATTTAACCAGAAAAGATTTAACCAGAAAAGATTTAACCAGAAACGATTTAACCAGAAACGATTTAACCAGAAACGATTGAACCAGAAACGATTTAACCAGAAACGATTGAACCAGAAACGGTTGAACCAGAAACGATTTAACCAGAAAAGATTTAACCAGAAACGATTTAACCAGAAAAGATTTAACCAGAAACGATTTAACCAGAAAAGATTTAACCAGAAACGATTTAACCAGAAAAGATTTAACCAGAAACGATTTAACCAGAAACGATTGAACCAGAAACGATTTAACCAGAAAAGATTTAACCAGAAAAGATTTAACCAGAAACGATTTAACCAGAAAAGATTTAACCAGAAACGATTTAACCAGAAAAGATTTAACCAGAAACGATTTAACCAGAAACGATTGAACCAGAAACGATTTAACCAGAAACGATTTAACCAGAAAAGATTTAACCAGAAAAGATTTAACCAGAAACGATTTAACCAGAAACGATTTAACCAGAAACGATTTAACCAGAAACGATTGAACCAGAAACGATTGAACCAGAAACGATTGAACCAGAAACGATTTAACCAGAAACGATTTAACCAGAAAAGATTTAACCAGAAAAGATTGAACCAGAAACGATTGAACCAGAAACGATTTAACCAGAAAAGATTTAACCAGAAACGATTGAACCAGAAACGATTTAACCAGAAACGATTTAACCAGAAACGATTGAACCAGAAACGATTGAACCAGAAACGATTGAACCAGAAACGATTTAACCAGAAACGATTGAACCAGAAACGATTGAACCAGAAACGATTTAACCAGAAACGATTGAACCAGAAACGATTTAACCAGAAACGATTTAACCAGAAAAGATTTAACCAGAAACGATTTAACCAGAAAAGATTTAACCAGAAACGATTTAACCAGAAACGATTTAACCAGAAACGATTGAACCAGAAACGATTTAACCAGAAACGATTGAACCAGAAACGATTGAACCAGAAACGATTTAACCAGAAACGATTGAACCAGAAACGATTTAACCAGAAACGATTTAACCAGAAAAGATTTAACCAGAAACGATTTAACCAGAAACGATTTAACCAGAAACGATTTAACCAGAAACGATTGAACCAGAAACGATTTAACCAGAAACATTTTTAGAGCCTACAGATGGAACAGTACAGAGGAGAGTCATAGGATTAAATGTAATAACGGCCTGCCATAGTCCAATCTATATAAACTATGTTTTTATCGGCAGCAATCTTCTCCTTAGAAGCTCTTGCTCTTTCTTTTAAAAATGGTCTCCAACATTTTCTTCATTCTGCTTTCGTATTTCTAGCTCCAGTGGTGTAAAACATGCATGACCTGTTGTCATGGTGACTCATTGAATCAGGGCTCTACTGATAATGGCTTTTCAGTCGACTCAGAGTTGATTAAACTGACAGCAGCCTCAGGATAGATCAGAGAGGATTGGAGTCAGAGTTTGTTAACCCTGCAGGCCAGAGTCTGAAAGGGTGTATCTATGCTTCTTTTTCTATGTCTGCTTCTGTCTCCTTGAACCCCAGTGGGCCTCAGCAGATGGCCGCTCACACTGAGCCTGGTTCTGCTGGAGGTTTCTTCCTGTTCAAAGGGAGTTTTTCCTCTCCACTGTCGCTACAAGCATGCTTAGTGTGAGGGATTGCTGAAGAGTCAATGAGTCGATGCAATCAGCTGGTTTTCCTTAGATAGAAAACTTTGAATCAATCTGACTGGATGATCTGGTGAACTGGAAAGTGACCTGAGATGACATGATGTGAACTGGAGCTATAGAAATAAACTGCATAGAATTAAATCCCATTCCCATTCAGCAGAACCAGCTTTGCAACAGCAGGCTCTGGTTTCTCTGAACCAGGAGACTGAAATAAAACCAGTGTTCCCAGTAATGTACAAACCTCTGTGAGCGCCACAGAGCTTTGGCCAGCAGAGGGAGCCGCAGAGCTTTGGCCAGCAGAGGGAGCCGCAGAGCAAAGCTGGCTGGTAAAAAGGACCTGAGGAAGAAAATAAAACTCATCTTTAATTCAACACTTTATTCTCTTTACATTTGGCTGCTTTCCTGTTTGATCCTCAGCAGCTAATTCTCTACAAACCAGAGATCCTCTAATTATCCTCACTTTTATTAATTAAATATTTCTGTGTTCAAGTCGATGATTCTGGTTTGAAGGTAATAAAACACGACATTTAGATTCTATCTGATGTCGGTGCGCGTCTGGCAGAAATAGCATAAATATCCACATGAAGCAGACTGATTTTCTCCTCATTTAATGACTGAAAAACCCACAATGGTCACAGAAATTAGAATCTGACAGAAATAATAATAAATGAAAATTCCATGAAAACAATCTAATGAAAGTCAGACATTAATTCAGGCTCCAGCAGAAAAAAATTTAAAAATAAACTCATAAACAGGCCTTGTTGTTTATCTACGCTTCCTGTTCCTCTCAGCAGGCTTCCTCTGGTCCATGTTGAGTGCGGTACACACCATGCCACCTACAGATGCAGACTCCTTCATTTCTACTCTTCATAGAATTTTGTTTTATTATTGTTTTTTATTTCTGTGACCAATTGAAGGTTTTCATTCATTAAATGAGGAAAAACCAACAGTTTGTTACGGTCAGAGAAAAGTTTTCCTAAAGGAATAAAATGCTTGATTGGTCCTCCAGGCCACTCGGTGGCACTCTTCCCCTGACCTTCACCAGATGTTTGACTCATTACATCTTTGGTTTGATGCTGTTTAACCCTGTTAGCGTTAGCAGCTAGCAGCTCTGGGTTTCTCTTGCTCCTTACATCATGCAGCGCTTGCGTTCGCGCTCCAACGGTGGCGAGCAGAGTCCGACCCTGATGTCTCAGACGACCCGTCAGCCACTGCAGTCTCCTCAGCGATGCAGCTTCCACCTCACCGGAAAACTCTGGCTTCTGCTGAAACCAACATTCAGAGTTACCAGGATGCATGAGGAGAGGAAGACGCTCCAGCTTTTCCATTCTTACCGGAGCAGACGTCAGCAGCGCTGGGTCCAGGCACTCTACCCGCCTGCTCAGCAGTTTCTCCAGGGCTCCTCCAGCCAGCAGCCAGCCCAGCGCCAGCAGCAGGTCCGTGCTGGAGCAGCTGCCTCCATCGTACATCCAGTCACCGTGGTAACCGCTCTGCCACAGGCCCACAGCCACCAGCTTCCTGCTCTCTGAGGGGAACAAACCAAAGACAACTGGACCCAAACCTGCATCCCGCTGGTTCTTTAGTCCCGTTACACCTTGTTCATTTCTCCAGCGTCTGCCTGACGTCCCAGAATCTCCTAAAACGCTGGCATACTCTGAACTTTCTATGGAATCTTTCTATTCTGGGCGTAAACTCATAACGAGTCCAGAACTTCTGTCCAACCACAGCCTAACTTCTGCATATAACTCACAGCAGCGTAATGCACAGGAAATGATGCACAGTGACCTGAGGGGGGCAGCGATGCGCCTGGAGGCGCCCGGCCTGCAGAAAAAAATGTATTTGATCGTGGTATTAACCTAGCTGCTGTTTACCGCCCGCCAAAAAAAAAAGAAAAGGAAAGAAAGCAGGTTTCTGGTGTCAGCAGATGGTTCAGCGCTCGTCTGGAACACGTCAGATACGCTGATATGTTGGAGAGAAGTTCTGGATAAGTTACGCAGACGTTAGTCAGAGGTTTAGGATCAGCTAGACGCCACGACTGATGAGGAACTGCACGTCTGTCGACCATCAGATAATCTGGAACTGATGGACCACGGATGGCAGACGCTGGCATTCAGCATTCGACGTTCTCGCCGTATGCCGCCGTGTTTCAGCGTGCTCAGAACTTATCCAACGTATGCCACGTTTCAGCCAGGTGTTTTATTCGTCAGGCATATGCTGGTCTAAATAATCAAGGTGTGACAGGAGCTTTACTGGGTGCAACAGAAAGCAGAGGAAGATGTTTCCATCTCTGCTGCTCTGAGCAGGAGTTGAGGGCGAGCTGCAGACTGACCTCCTGTCAGCAGGGAGCTGCTCCCACAGGAAACCATCCCTGATGTCTGCAGGATGCTGCAGAGCAGCTGCCAGAACGGATCCTCCTGCAGAAACGACCTCAGTAAGAACAGACAAAGATCTCCAAACGCTCCAGAACGCCATGAAACGTTGATTTTTAGACCTTCTGGTTACATTTGATCTCACTTAATATTAATTTAACAAAGAACAGGAGTGGAAGGGTCTGTGGCTCCGCTGTGGTCTGAAGCCCAGAGGAGCTCCAGCAGAGAAAAAAACACCTTATAGCATCCAAATCAGAAACATCTACTGAGGTCCTGCAATAGTCTATTAAAACTCAATCTTATGTTTAAGATATCACACTTATAAATTCCATACATTTGAGTTCATTAAATAATAAGTGAATTAATTTCTATAACTTTGTTTATTGCCGTCTAGAAAAAGTTTATCATCTTCTACTGCTAATTTTAAGAAAAACTAATTTTAAATCCAATGCTTGTGATAAATCACTCTAAAAAAAAAGGAGTTAAATGTTATATTTTAGTGCTGCTCCACTGCTCATCGCGTCCTGTGGTTTGGCCCTGATCGGCTTCCATACTTTCTCTAAAAAGTTTCGCTTTATAGATTATAGTTTGTATCTGTTTTATTAACAAGTAAAGGAAGATAAGCGCTCAGAGGAGAATCAGAACCGGTCCCTGTTGAGCCCACCTCGGGTTTTCCTCCGAACTTTGCCCGTCTGAAGGCCTCCGGCGCGGGGACAGGCTGCACACCGAGGGCCGCCAGCAGCCTGCAGAGAGCTCCGATCACCCGCTTCACCTCCACGCTCACAGCCGCTCTGGGCGCCTGCATTTCGGCCTCCGAGCAGAGCTGACGGCGCCGAACTCTGGGCCCAAACTCACTACCGGCTCCGTGCGGCTCCACTGCTGTTGCTAGGAAACAGAAAGTTGGTTATGACCAATCAGATATCAGGGTGGGTGGGGTCAAGCAGCCATTGTCAAATAAAAAACGAAAAAAAGCGCGGTAAGGAAGTTTCTGTGAAAATACGGAGACAAAAAAAAACACATCCGACGAGGATGGGATTCGAACCCACGCGTGCAGAGCACAATGGATTAGCAGTCCATCGCCTTAACCACTCGGCCACCTCGTCACGTGCTCCTTATCCGGAGTAATAACACAAACCCTATATAACTCTGGCAGAATGTTTCTGAGGTCCGAACATATTCCGAACGAGATCAAAGAGTAACGGCGGCCATCTTTGAAACGCCACTATACAGAAATATAAATAAATGATTTCATTTCCTGTCCCGGCAGCATGATATTTAACTTTTATTTAAAGGAAAAGTCCGGTCAGAAAGGAATGATCAATGAGTCATTATTCAGTTCTGATGCTTTTAGTTTAGTTCTGGTGGTAAAGCTGGTCTGATGCACGGTGGGCGGAGCTACTCTATCCTTTCTCTGCCTGGAACAATGGCAGCTATATTAGCTGTGATCAGCGGGTAGAAAGTAGTTTTTCATCTATGTTGAAGTGAGAAAGTCCTCCTGAAAACACGGTCTGTGCAGTCAGTTCATCCAGATTACCATCCTGCCTTCAAAGATTATTTCTCTGTGGGAGCCGCTCAGACCCCCACATACCGGCGCTGCGCTGTCACTGGGAATCCCCAGCAGCAGCTGCCTCAGGCCCGCTCGCCTCTCCAGGGTTTTCCCCTCCTGTTGGTGGCGGCTGGAAGTAGATGTTAGCGTTTTTCAGGTCTCTGCTACAAACTGCAGGCAGCAGGATAATAAAAGCCAACATATTCTGCCGGCAGGTTTCTACATTTGAAGTTAATTTAGGCGTTAATAAACTGTTTCAGAGGAGTGATCATAGCGCTCTGCATCAGCAGTGCTGCGTCTGACTCCCTGCCAGCTCCCAGATCAGCTTCTCTCATTGGCTGATGTCCAGCAGATAAAGTTATGTTTGCATCTTGATGTGCATCAACCATTGACTCTGCATGTAAATCAGCTGCTTCTGCTGCTTTAGGTGTGAATGTTGTATCAGGGCCAGGATAAAGATTTTATTATTTTTTTTCTATTTTGAAAATAAAGTCGTAATATTATGAGAATAAAGTTGTTAAATCATAAAGTATAACTTCACAAGACTCTCAACATGCTGTCTGTTTACAACTTTATTCTCGTAACTTTACGACTTTATTCTCATCATTTTAAGACTTTATTGTGGAAATATAAAATATATATATATATTTCTAGCCTGGCCCTAATATTCTATTGGATAAAATAAATATGTTCACAGTGATTTAATTAATTTAGTTTTAATCAGTAAAAAAATTTAAACAATAATTTTCACTGAGTCTGGGAGCGGCCATCTTTGCCCAAATACAGTAGCCCCTCCCTCCTGCCATCTTCCAGCAGTGACGTCACGGTGCGGTAAGCCTAGCGCCATTCTCCCCGCTTTCCAAGCTAAATCAATGGGAACTACTAGACACATCTGCAATCAACAACAATTATTGAAGATTTCCAGAGGACTTCACCATTGAAATTCACCAGAGCTATAGTGAAACTGACAATGCCCACGTGCATGGCAGCTGGATGCTGGAATACATCGGGTAAAAGTGAAAAAAAAGAGTTATTCCACCTTTCTGATTCCTGATCCTCCACGGACGGGTTGGTCGTTGGATCGCCAACTTGAAGAGGGAGGATTTGCCATCGAACTTCTGGCCAGAGAAAAAACCCGTAATATGTAGCCAACATTTGGAAGAAGAATGTTTTCAAGATGACTTGGATAATAGCGCGTTGTGACAAACACCAGATACAGCACTGGGACTTGATCAACAGCCAATACCGCACCGTGACAATGTCACTAACCAGTAGGTGGCAGTAGTGTTCTTTGACAAACATGGATGCCTCCAGTAAAGCACATTCACATGAAAATTACTCTGAATTAAAAACACTGATCATTTATTGAACAGGATGGAATCATTTCAGATTTAAAGAACTTTCAGAAGTTTGAATTCTGAATATGAGCGACTTTTCCTTTAAATGTTTTTTACATGCTAGCACTGTGTGGCTATGGTGGGCAAATATGTAATATGACAGAATCAGACCAATAATAACTGAATTATTAGTTTATTTGCCGTATAAAGGATGCTGTCTGTCTGACGCTTCTTCCTTCCATCCAGCCTGAATACCTAAACCACTATGGATGTAATACACTATATGACCACTGCATGATGTGGCGCTGTTTCGTCTAAGAAGGACTACTGTGTTTCCTGAGGAGGAACGTTGGAAACAAAATATCAATGAAGATTTATTTAACAGATTCAAAACTTGGTAAACATTGAATTATGCTTGATGGTTGATTTTTAACATATGTAAGATTTTTACACTTGTAATGGCATCATTTCATAAATGTTTTCATGCATATAATTGCATCACAACTATTCTGTTTACTAGTATATTTTTAGTAATTCTAATTAATGTCATGGAGGTTTCCATTCCTTGCTAAATTTGTAATGAATGTATGCTGCCATCCCCATTGATGATTTGACCACAAGATTTTTATCAGTAAATAAGAATAAAGTGAGCTTTTTATGCTAATTTATTGTGTTAAGGGTCTGTGATTAAATCTGTGGGAGTGTTTTGGTCAGAATTTAGGGGAAATATTTTGTTGGAAATTGTCTGAAATAGGTCATTAGAAATCTGATCACAGTATAAATAAATGTTGAACCCTCAGTTTTGCCTGTGTGTCGCCTGATATGTTGCGCCCTTGTGGGACGTAACAGACCCAAACTAAACTTTGAAGATGCTTCAGGTAAGAATGTAGCTTGGTTTAAATGGAAAGCTCTCAGCAGCAGCTGCAGTTCTACCGTCCCTCGCCTGGCCGGGACCTTCTCACTGCAGATCTACCACGCTAACGGCGCCACCGTGAAGAAGAGCAGCAGAAAGATCAGCTGCTTTATGTAGGGGTGGGATATTTCCAAGGGAAAGTGTGTGTGTGGGATTGCTGTATAAATGAATGTACTGAGCTTTGCCCAGTCAGAGCTCTATCTCTTCATCTGAGGACGGTAAATAAATCTGAACCTTTTGTTTTTGTCTCAGCATCCTAACTTCACAGGGTCTTACTCAGGGACCCAGAGTGGCAGTCTGTGGGAGTTGGTCTGGAACTCAGAACCTCAGGATTCGGACCACCATGGCACCCCTCCCCCACTTCTTCTGTAAACGGGTCATAAATCCAGAATCCTCCTGAAACCCAAACCAGCTCTAGATGCATCATTTCTGTTCTGCCAGGATCCATTCAGAACTCCTCCCTCTGATCAAACCCGGTCCATCCACCTGGATCAGAAGAGGCCTGGTTACATAACCACCCAGCCAGGAGAACCGGCCCAGTCTGCCAAGATGGCCGCCAGCCCAAACCGTTCCTCTGAGCTGCAGCCCAGGTTTTAAATAGCTGCCTCTCATCTCTGCTGCTGGCTTATGTAAGCAGCGTCTCTAGAACCACGCTGCCTCCCTGCTGCTTCCCTCTCCGCCTTCGCTCCTGATGAGAACGGACTAACCGCTGCGACAGAATGCCGTTGGACCAGAGGTGGCGGGTCCTGCAGAGGGGAGGACCTCTGTGTTCTGCAGCCAGTCCTCCTGGATCCTCGCAGAGCATCAGGCTGCCTGGTTAGCAGCTGCCTCACAGCGGCTCAGGGACATCTGATACCTACTACTGAGGGGACCCGTGTTCTTCTGTAAAAACTTCAGGTTCGTTGTGTGACTGAAAACCTGAGATTTTAGGTGATTGCACTTGGACTTCCTGTATGACTGGAAGGAGTGAATTATAAATACTCCCTATATTAAGGAGAATGTGCGTGGGGTTGGGTTGGCTTGGGTTTGTGGCTTTAAAGGGTTTAGGTTGTGTGGTTTAGGGGGTGCTTTGGCATGGGGCGTGGGTGGTCCGTGGGTGTCATGACAGATGGGGCGGGCTGTGTGTAGTTCCGGCGGGTTTATGAATGAATGATGACATGCACTGCACATGAATGAATGACTGACGAATAGAATGTGAATGACTGATGCATGATTGAACTGAATGGATGAATGATGATGACATGAATGAATGACTGAAGAATGAAAGATGAATGTATGAATGAATGAATGATGAATTTAGATGATGAAATGAATCGATGATGTACTGATGACTATGACTGATAGGACTGAATGGATGACATGAAATGATTGAATGACTCGAATGAATGAATGACATGAATGACTGAATGAATGAATGATGGATGAAATGAATGATGTAATGAATGATGCAATGAATGAATGACATGGATTAATGGAAATGAATGAATGATTGAATGAATGATGAACATGCTTGTAATTTGATGGAATGAATGAATGAATGAATGAATGAACTGAATGACTGATGAATGAATGAATGATGAATGAATGATTTCGAATTAATGAATGAATTGGGATGATTGAATGACTGATGAATGGGATGACTGAATGAATGAATGAATGATATGAATGATGAATGCAATGAATGAATGAATTAATGATGATGAATGGATGATGGACTGAATGAATGAATTGCATGGATGATATGAAGTGAATGTATGAATGAATGCATGAATGAATGAATGGATTGAATGAATGAACGTGAGTGATGAATGAATGAATGAATTGCTATGATACGAATGAATGAATGAATGAATGATGAATGAATGATGACTGAATACTGAATGAAATGCATGAATGAAATGATGCAATGAAATGAATGCTGAACGAATGAATGCTGAATGAAGACTGCAATGAATGCATGAATGACATGAATGAAATGAATGAATGATGAATGCACATGAATGATGAATGAATGAGTGAATGAATGAATGAAGATGAATGAATGAACTGAATAAGATGAATGAATGGCATGAATGATGCAATGAATGAATGAATGAATGAATGACTCGAATGAATGAATGAATGAATGATGCAAAGACATGAATGCAATGATGAATGAATGATGAATGAATGAATGACTGAATGAATGAATGAATGAATGAATGGAATGAATGAATGAATGA